CCCCTTAACTTCTTTCCCTATGAAAGACTCTGAACAGCTCCCCTGGGGGGGGGGTGCGCAGCTTTACTGTAGCTACCCTCCTTATGCATAAGTCTATATCCCCTTTAAATAAAGCGTTGCTTGCTTTACTGCTGGGTACATTGTTCATTTCTATAATTTTGGGACCCAAGAGTCTAATTTGGTCACCAGCGAAAATTGGAAAGCCTTGGGCACCAGAGAAGACCATAGCTGCAAGAGGCAAGTGGCCACTGGGACTATTTTGCTCCCATGTCTCTGCTGCCGGTAAGTCTCTCCTGGAGTCCCCTGCCTAAATTCTAACATGACAACGCTTTATTCTCTTTTACTACCCGTTTCTGATTTTCTGAGCCCTCTTCTGCTGTTCTGTATAGATGCACCCTGGAGGGCTCCCAGCTATGCTTTGTTTCTGATTTTTTGAGCCCTCTCCTACTCTTCTGTATAGGTGGACCCTGGAGAGCTCCAGGCTATGCTTTGTTTCTCTGATTTAAATATAGTAAGTACTCTTATTTTTTGTGCCCACAACAGTGGGGATAGGTTGGCCCCGATGATTGGGACTAGTATAAAGTGGACCCCCTTGGTTAGACATTTAGTTGAGTACCGGTTATCTGAATAAGCCTTCCAATCCTTGCACCAACTTTTGGACTTTCAAGTAATTTGTTTAGTGCAAGAGGGCAAGCTGAGCCTTGTCTGTAGGCAACACATTGGCCAGCATCCAGGCGTCCTTCACCTTTGCACTCCAGTACCCTGCACCCAGCAGGTATCTACTGAACAGAAAGATGCAGCTGGAAATGATCTCAGGGACCACAGGGCCCAAAGCAACTCAGCGAAGTTGAGTGAGGAGCCTAGGGTGGCCCAGCCCCAGGCAGTGGGGAGGACACAATCTCACCTAAGTGACCATCCTTGGTCAGGAACCAGACCAATCCTCTGGAAACATTATCTGCAACCCCATATGTATACATGCCAGATACCTGGCCGACCTTAAGTCTGGACACTGGGCCCCACTCCATGCAGGCCTGAACCTTCAGCTGGCAGGACTGGGGGCCAGGCCTGGCACACAGTAGGGCCTCAGCAAAAACAGCTGCTTGACGCAGTACAACCTCTGGCCAGCGGACAACTCACCCTAAGTTCCACATCCCTCTCTCTAGGCCTCGGTCGTCTCATCTGCAGAATGGAGCTAATTCTGCCACAAGTGTAAGTGACCCTGGGTTGGTCACCCCACCCTTGTCTTCTACAAACGTAAGGGGCTGAAGCAGCAGAGTTCCAGGTTCTGTGACTGTTTGCCCAACTGGTTTTTGTTAATTTTCTCCAAACCACTGTGTCTCAAAAGATGATCCCTGGGCACACACCCAGAATTACAGGAGGGACCTTGTCAAACGCAGACCCAGGGCCCGACCCGGACCTGCGTCCAAATCTCATTTTGGGCGGCGCTGAGAGGTCCTGGACACAGTGAAGCTTGAGAACCGCAGCTCCAAACCGACAGCGCCTGAGGCTTCCGCTTGTGGAGACCCACGTGTTAGTCAGACCTCACTTTGTGGGAACACTTTTACCAGAAAACCTGAGGGGCAGGCTGTGGAGATTTCTATCACTCGATAACGTGTAACTTAGTTCCCGCGAAGCACTAGCTTCCCCAAAGAAGTCAGCGGGGCTTCAGTAAACCCTCGGCCGCGGCCGCGGCGTCCAGCCCGGGTCCTCCCGACCCACCAAACCTGCGGCCCCGAGGCCTCCCGGGGCTCCGTGAGGCCCCCGCTACTCACCCTCGGCGGCTCGGCCAGCCCGAGAACCCGGA